GGTTCTCGGGGGAAGGTTGACACGGATGCGGACACATGGGCACGTTCAGGCAGTGCAGTAATAGTGAGAGTCAGTTCTCGGGGGGAGATTGACACGGATGCGGACACATGGGCACGTTCAGGCAGTGCAGCAATAGTGAGAGTCGGTTGTCGGGGGGAGATTGACACGGATGCGGACACATGGGCACGTTCAGGCAGTGCAGTAATAGTGAGAGTCGGTTGTCGAGGGGAGATTGACACGGATGCGGACACATGGGCACGTTCAGGGCAGTGCAGTAATAGTGAGAGTCGGTTGTCGGGGGGAGATTGACACGGATGCGGACACATGGGCACGTTCAGGCAGTGCAGTAATAGTGAGAGTCGGTTGTCGGGGGGAGATTGACACGGATGCGGACACATGGGCACGTTCAGAGGCAGTGCAGTAATAGTGAGAGTCGGTTGTCGGGGGGAGATTGACACGGATGCGGACACATGGGCACGTTCAGGCAGTGCAGCAATAGTGAGAGTCGGTTGTCGGGGGGAGATTGACACGGATGCGGACACATGGGCACGTTCAGGCAGTGCAGTAATAGTGAGAGTCGGTTGTCGAGGGGAGATTGACACGGATGCGGACACATGGGCACGTTCAGGCAGTGCAGTAATAGTGAGAGTCAGTTCTCGGGGGGAGATTGACACGGATGCGGACACATGGGCACGTTCAGGCAGTGCAGTAATAGTGAGAGTCGGTTCTCGGGGGGAGATTGACACGGATGCGGACACATGGGCACGTTCAGGCAGTGCAGTAATAGTGAGAGTCAGTTCTCGGGGGGAGATTGACACGGATGCGGACACATGGGCACGTTCAGGCAGTGCAGTAATAGTGAGGAGTCGGTTGTCGGGGGGAGATTGACACGGATGCGGACACATGGGCACGTTCAGGCAGTGCAGTAATAGTGAGAGTCGGTTGTCGGGGGGAGATTGACACGGATGCGGACACATGGGCACGTTCAGGCAGTGCAGTAATAGTGAGAGTCGGGTTGTCGGGGGGGAGATTGACACGGATGCGGACACATGGGCACGTTCAGGCAGTGCAGTAATAGTGAGAGTCGGTTCTCGGGGGGAGGTTGACACGGATGCGGACACATGGGCACGTTCAGCAGTGCAGTAATAGTGAGAGTCGGTTTGTCGGGGGGAGATTGACACGGATGCGGACACATGGGCACGTTCAGGCGGTGCAGTAATAGTGAGAGTCGGTTGTCGGGGGGAGATTGACACGGATGCGGACACATGGGCACTTTCAGGCAGTGCAGTAATAGTGAGAGTCGGTTTCTCGGGGGGGAGGTTGACACGGATGCGGACACATGGGCACGTTCAGGCAGTGCAGCAATAGTGAGAGTCGGTTGTCGGGGGGAGGTTGACACGGATGCGGACACATGGGCACGTTCAGGCAGTGCAGTAATAGTGAGAGTCGGTTGTCGGGGGGAGATTGACACGGATGCGGACACATGGGCACGTTCAGGCAGTGCAGTAATGGTCAGAGTCGGTTGTCGAGGGGAGATTGACACGGATGCGGACACATGGGCACGTTCAGGCAGTGCAGTAATAGTCAGAGTCGGTTGTCGGGGGGAGATTGACACGGATGCGGACACATGGGCACGTTCAGGCAGTGCAGCAATAGTGAGAGTCGGCTGTCGGGGGGAGGTTGACACGGATGCGGACACATGGGCACGTTCAGGCAGCGCAGCAATAGTGAGAGTCGGCTGTCGGGGGGAGGTTGACACGGATGCGGTGAGTATTGGCCTGGCGCGCCGACAGCCGGGCGCCTGACGCCGACACTTCGCCAAAATATCAACTCGGCGCATGAATCCCCGACCCTCCGGTGTTCCCATGAGACCCGGCAGCTTTTTTCTCTCTTTAGATAATTAAGAACACGAGTTCTGTAGGTCTCTTTGAGGTGACGCGCTCGCACATGAACTCTGATATTTTGTATGCCGTGCACTCCTTTCGTGCTTACATCGTATCACGGTAATGAACATATATATAATGCACGAATCCGTCGCTCATGTGTGTTGTTATATGACGTATCGATCGCTGCCTGGTATTTCTCTATACGTTTTAATGAACGGTCTGCAGGAAGCTAGCAGATCATAAATAATGTGCGACCGGCATTTTGCGCCATGAGACAGGATGTGTCGTGGTCAGATCCATACTTCTGAGGTCGATATCTCTATCTCGCATGGCTCACATACCGCGTACAGCTTGAGGCGACTGTGAGTTTTCTATGAGCGTAATGAAAGAATCGTTGTCACCACGGACTAAATGCGCTACAGATCTCGCGTTATGACTCCTCGCGGGGAGTGATGGGGAAAGTCCTACGCGGTACGTAGGCAGTTTTCTAGCCGTGGGTTGAAAGGTCCCACTCCCCACAGAAATTAGGCAGTTGGTTCTCGGTCGATCTCTCCGCGACTCACAGATAAGGTGGGACGCATCTTTTTGCACGTTGCTGGCCGCTAGTGAGGGTAGTGGCGGCACGTGTAAGGTGCCATTGATGGATTTGCGACTCGCAGAACGTGAGACTTTTCCCTCCTTGCGATTCCCGGAAGGTGGAAGTTGGAAAAGGGCGGTAGGCTGTCGAAAAAACTGATTGTTTTTTTCCGTTGGTGGATTAACATGCGGCCACAGAAGGAAGTTTGCTAAAATGATCAAGAGTAACTGACCCTTAGCAGCGGCAGTGAATTCGGTTACTGAGGCTGCCGTTGTTAAAATCAATACAGTGACTCCGGAAGGCGAGGTCCGCACATATGAGCCGATGAGGTATTCCAGGTTGTCGATGTGTGATTCCGGCAACAAATTATGAGCCGACGAGGGATTCCGGCGTGCCGACGAGGGATTCCGGCATTATTCAGTAACAATAGAGGGTGGACGCTGCATGGTGACGCCGCAGTGAGCCTTGCACCAGGCGGCTACTAATGGGGACTAAATTCTGAGGCATACGTGCTGTGTGGCTGTATGGTTCCGCTCATGACTGGGGTGATCTGATCATTGCACGTAGCCTGCAGACTGTGTGTAGCGACCATTTTATAGGCGTCTCTGTAATGTGGCCGGTGACAATCATGCGTAAGACGGCGTGAATGCATGAAGCTGGTTGCGAAACCCCAGGAAAGTGACGTTTGCTGCCCATGTTAGGACGAAAGCACCTGTTTCGTAAAAGCCCATGTAATGTCGGTGCGCCAATGCTTTCGCCACCATTTGCAGCCGCCCCTGTTAGCCAGGTTTATTATAGGGAAGTGCCTCGATAATAATTACCTGTCGATAATGCAGTGGGCCAATTAGCCAACAGTCTTTCTTAGCAATGGCATGCATAGTCAATCTAATCAAATATAATGCATCACACAGCGTCATGTGCGTGCATGTAACCTGAAAAACCATACATGAACTTCATCTAAATCATTGAGTCAGTCCAGGCGTTTTGCTTTTAAGCAGCCTGGGCTTTGGAAATCTCGTGATTGCTGTTTGGTGTCGTTGAGAAAGCCGTCGGGTGAGCATGATAATATTGCTGGAAATAATGAGGAGCAAGTACTCCTAGTAACGCGAGCGTCAAAAATTAAGTTGAAGGAAACAGGGATATAACTGCAATACCCGGGTAACAATCCTGTGACTTGAACGAAATGTCATGTTATGGTTTTGATTTCTTCCTATTTGCTTTTAGCATAGTGGCTCTTTTCAAAGTAAACTTTGGCTTTGGGAATCGGGGTATCAGATGATTTGTATCACGCGCTGGTTTAAACTTCATTTCTTCAACGTCTCGACAAACAGCCAATCACAAACGTTCTTGTATTCGCACTAGGAGAGATGCGCATGGCCGTTGTCATGACGACATTGGGTAGGACTGCAAGGAGGAAGTGTACTGCTGTTGCAAATTGTTGACAGCGTAGGTTAGACTCGAAAATAATTTAAATTTCTTTCCTTATTTTGTCCTAAGGCACTCCCCAGTGCCGTTATTGGCATAACTAGTGCTGACGTTTCACTAGAGAATGCTTTTGAAACATGTATCAAAAGTGGGGTACTCCCTTTAAAAGATGCACCTCCACTGGTGTGAATGACGCCAGTACAAATAAACGTTCGTGACTGGCACAGCGGGTGGAAAGGCCGGTTACCATGAACCGATTTGGTTGAAGTTTAAACCCGCGCGTCACTATAGATCATATTATCCTCCGTTTTCCAAAGCCAGCGTGCGCTTCGCAAAGAGCCACTTTGGTAAAGGCCGCAGGTGTAAATCAAAGCTATAGTATAACGCCTCGTTGAATTCGCAGCATAATGGCCTGGTGTTTGGATATAATTCCCTAAAAAGAGTGTTTCGAGCTTTCGTAGCATTTGCTACACAAACGTGTTGACATATTCATGTGTTGCAAACATTACAAAACACACCGCTTGGAAAAACGGTGCAAATGAAATACACAGCTCTCATCGTGATGGGTGCATAGAATCCAACGCATGATCGCTCCTGCAGGGGCGGCTACTTTAAATAGAAATTCTGAGATTTTCAGAGGCATTTCGAAAGAAACTGGCATCAGCAGTCAAATCGAACACGTCTGATCCAACATCGTGTGAAAAGTACAGATAAGGTAGCATACTCCCCGTAGCTGGGGGGCCGACGTTGCGAGGCCCATGAAAAATGCAACGCCAAACGTCAGGGTTTCTCATTTATTTTTCAGTGATTGATTCTGAAGACATGGTGACATGCAAACGGCGTGCATAACACATGTTTGGTCCCATGCTACCACTCGAGGGATCAAAACAGGACTCCGCGCCTGAAAAGGTTCTACACATCCCAAACAAGGCCTCTATAGCGGCGAAGCGGGGCCCATTTGCGCGCCTGTCGCCTGAGCGAATTTTGTGGTGTTTGTTTTAAGCGTGGCCTACTTGTAATTGGTGGTCGCTGCCCCGTGGAGGATTTTGATGACGTCATTGAAATAGACTGCTGCGCTTGATTTTGTTTACATGTGCAGTCCTGTCGTGAAGGCCGTGGAGGTGGCGCGGGGCCTGGGGGTGGTGGTCCGTCCCAGCTGACGTGTTTGAGTGCATATTTGGGGAATTAGCTTTTATCCTAATAATTGTGAGTCCCATTGAGACGTCTTTTCTGACCAAGCAGCAAGCACCATTGGGCTGTGTCTTGATAAGTCGGTTGGAGGAAGAAAGTCATTGCATGCGACGAAAGTGGCTCAGAATCGGCCGGGGAACCTTATGCCAGAACCGAAACAAGGATATTAGTGGGTCCTTCAAAATTGGCAACGGTATGGCATTAACACGCCCTGTGACTAAGTCATCTCTGATGAGCAAGATCCACGGGGCCATCGCTGACAAAATGGGATCTCCTAGACTCATCATCGAAAGGCGAACAATTGAAAAAACCTACAAGCTGATGGACAGGGTAGTGAAGCTTTGCCAGCATCCAAAGATGAACCTGAAGAACTCTCCACCATTTTTGCTAGATATTTTACCTGACACCTACACTCATCTGAAGGAAATATGCAATCACCATGAAGATTTGGAAGTGCTGAACAACAATGAATACTTCCGAGTGTTCATAGAAAACCTGATGAAGAAATGCAGGCAGGCAGAGAAATACTTTCGTGATGGAAAGGAACAGATGTATGATGAAAATTCTGTTTATAGGCGGAATCTAACAAAACTGTCTCTTGTGTTTTCTCACATGTTGTCAGAGCTACGTGCAATATTCCCTGAACATATGTTCATGGGGGACCAATTCAGGGTCACCAAGAGTGATGCAGCAGATTTCTGGAGGACGTATTTTGGAGAAAGGTATGAATCATGTCGTTGTAGTCCTGGGACATTAAGTTTTACACAGCTCAATATTTGCGGTACATTACAGGATGCTAGTGCAGTGTTCTGCACATAATTAATTGACTAGGTGCTTCATAGCAAGCATGTTCTTATTGGATATCTCAGGGAACTTACTGTCATATAATAAGGGCAGCTGAATTTTCTGTGGGATGATTAGGTGGCCTCTGAAATGATTGCTTCTTGCTAGTAATTTTTGTTTTCTTTGTTGCTGCCTGCAGTTGTGATTATTGGCTGTGCATATCTAATAGTGCCTGTCATTCCTTTGATATTGTGTTTGTATGTTGTGGATACAACCATGCCTTGCCTTACCTTATCTTTCCTCGAAATCATCAGAATTTGTAGGGTCATGTGGCCTGTGGGTCCACTCCCATAGAGCTCTTGCTCATGAATAATGCTGACTGATTATGGCTTGTCATGCATTGGATCAGCCCAGTAAGCATGTAGCCTAGCATTAACTGTGTGGCTATAGATGCAGAGACTTTCTCCAGTGGTAGCACATTCCAATCATTCACTCCTAGGTAGCTTAATAGGTGTCAGCATGTAAAGGTCCTGGGTTGGGGCTTACAGAGCTCCCACTGGTGGCTTCCTGTAATTGTGAAGACATACTCAGCAAGAAACTTTTCAGTGTGAGCTGCAGCATACTGCTATGCAGCATTTGGAACACAGCAACCCTGGCACCCTATCTGCATCTGTAGACCAGTGAAAGCAACCTCAGAAGCTGGAGCCTCCCCAGTATGTCCTGTTTATCACTTCCTAAACAGTTAAGTCAGGTAGCTCAAGACTATCCTCTTCCCAGCAGCTTCTGGTCTCATTTTCTGAATGACCTCCAAGCAATATAACCATTCTCCAGGAATGGTCTGAACAATGTTCTAAGAGAGAATTGGGAGGATGAACCTGTCATTGTCAGTTGAAATCTGCCTCAGAACTGCCAGCATCCTGTGAATCTTTTGAAATGGGCTGTTACCATTTATATGCAAAGTTTCAGTCTTCTTTTCATGTTAATTCCAAGGTCCTTCTCCAGGACATCTCTTCAATTATCACCTTATTCAGGACAATTGGCTGCTGGGCATGGTGAGATATCATGTTCATGACTTTACACATGGATTCAGTTGCACATGTCTGTGTCTGCTGCAATCTTGACACCCAAAGCCATGATATCCATAATCCATGTATAAGATATCGACTCAACCATGTACACCTAGACAGAGGCTGAGTAAGTATGATGTTCCTTCCAAAACTTTGTATGTTAATGTTGCTGACATTCTGCCACTAAAGCAAAATAGTTCAGAACATCTTAATGATATTAATTTCTATGATGGCTCTATGTACCAGACCTTTGAAAGTCATGAAGAGTTTGTGGTAAATAGTGTTATAGACATCAGAAGATCATATTTTTGTGGGCTGAAATCTAGTCATTCAGTTAAATATGTTTTATGCAACTACAAAATAAAAGTATTATAGCCATCTTTCAGCACAATGCTTAGGTCCTGAGGCATTTTCATGCAGTATGAAATAAACTCAGCCTTTTGAACAGCATATCTCAGCTTTTTCAGCAGCATGCTAATGAAGCAAAGATAGATGATGGGCAATGTATTTTTTATATTTGCTTGTTCAATGTAGCAACTGTCTCCACTGAGCAAATTGATGTGCAAAATTAACCATGCATCATAACATATCCTATGGCATGTTCAACATTCATAGTAAGCATACCTAGTAATTTGCTAGCTTATTTCTTATGCTTACAAACATCATTATATTGTGCTTTGTGTAGTAGTAATCAAGTACTATGTAGAACTTGAAAATTTCAACAAGATCTGTCCTGTGCTTAGACATCAGGGAAGGCACCACAAGGGCATATTTTAGATCAGGTATGATTTATGAAGGCATCTGCTATAAGATAAGTTTAGCTTTAAGCACTAAGCAATGCAGATTAGCACATTCACATTGTTTGCAGTTTGGGCTGTGCAACAGTCTGTGTACTCTTAAAGCCTGGGTAGACTGTTGGTGTATATTCATGATATCCATTTTCCAGAACACTTGTGCCCTGGAAGGTGTTCAAAGAGAGGCTGGATGAGGTGCACCCCATCAACCCAGGCCTGGAGACGATGGCGCTCAAGACAACCATCGACCTCACCTGCAATGACTACATATCCAACTTCGAGTTTGACGTGTTCACCAGGTGGGTGTCGGTGCTCAAAACAAGAGCTCAGCTCCTCATGCTTGGGAGTTCCTGTGTAAAAATGTCAATTATTCCGCTGATTGTTAAGGGCCGAATTTTCACGGAACTAGCGCCGGACTGGGTTTTAGCGGCTCGCTTATGGGATTCAAGGTAGGTATTATTGGCTCAACGTATTGACTCGCGGCTGTTTGTTGGGTTGTATGAGTACCTTTCAGGCCGCAAATATTCTGGAAAATGGATGTTATGAAATTGTACTAAAAGTCAGTCTAGTCTCAGGAATAGAGAGAAGGTTGCAATTTAAACTGAAGCAGTGCAGAATTGCTGATCTGCGTCGACTGGTGCTCACATCTTAACTTATTTTTCTTCATAAGGAGCAAAATATCTACTAACAGTTGTGCGCAGGCTTTCATAAACCATGTCTGGCGTCAAACACAGCCTTTCGTAATGTCCAGCCATAGGACAGATTTCGTTAGAATTCTCAAGTCGCTGTGGGATTTTACCGGGTGGGTTTTCCGGATTCGTCGGCGCTTTCGAACGGATAGATTGGCAACTGATGTGTGATGTTTTCGTGGTGGTTGCGGAGGTGCTTTGGCCTATCTCACTTAATCTCCGAGAGCGCCAGCGCTCGCTTTGTGCACTTTCATGGCACACTGCGCCTGTTTTTGTCGGCGTGCTGAAGCGGCGGCTGGATTGCAGTGCACCTGGCAGGAAGCTGCCGGATCGATGCAGATCAGCTTCGGACGCCGTGCTTGATTTTGGCATCTTTGATCTGTCGGCGCCCGGTGTTTTCTGAATGGGAATTATGGGACTTTTGTGGTGCCTTCGAAGATAATCCAGAGCATTTTGCATTGCCGCTTGCCGGGGAGCGGGCTTGCCTGCAGAGATGGGGAGAGCGCGGCGTCATGGCTGTCGGCAGCTTTGAGCCGTGCAGGGATTATGGGGTCTGACCGATCAGCGTGGCCTTGTGCGGGCGGCGCCGGACATAACAGCTTATTCCCCCCCCCCCCTCTGCTGGCTGTACTGCGGATCGCTGACACAGCTCTGGTTGTTGGTGATATTGTCGCAAACTGCGGCTCACCGAGTCAGGCACGACGTATTTGGGTGAAAAGCTAAGCTGCGGGACGTGAGCAGACCATCGTCCGTGTTGGAGAATGTTTTCCATCCCGTCGGCATTGTCCTGCCGGTTGCAGCATGCTGTGGACCCTTTATTTTTAATGGCTGAATATGGCTTGATATGCCTCGCGTCCTTTGTCTGCCATACGCACTATGGCCTAGCGATACATCAGTATTTTCCCGCGGTGCAATATCTTATGTAACCATAAGTTGAAAGTTCTTATCTTGAGTTAGCCACCTCCCATATACCGGGCGATGCTGGTCAGATAACCACCTCCCATGTACCAGGTGATGCTGGTTAAACGGCGTTGTGGTGCTAAATGTGGGTGATATTGATGCTCCTCAATGTAAATCGTTATGTGGCACTGCGACGTTGTTTAGCCAGTACCTCCTGGCATATTAACGGCCGTTTACTCAAGATAGGAACTTTCAACTGACCATGCCAAAAAACCAGGGGCTAAAGGCCTTTCTTTGTTACGTCATAGTTTACCACGTCACATTTCCGTTGCCATTGTCGTTTGTGTCTTATCCATCGTGCTGACGCTTTCCGGTGCGACTGTCGCTGGTAAGAATGACGTCATGTTCAGTCGGAATGCGATTGGACCGCCTTTCTGCCGTCCGTCGGAGCCCGGTGTCTCCCTTCACACGAACGTGTGCTCCTGTGACGCCGTGCTCACAGTCGGCGAACCGAGATATGTGTCAGTGACGAGGCGATAGCTTTGTCCGAGGGATGCTTGTGGCGCCTGCCCGAGCACTAATCTGCCAATCGCAGTGAGCTGTTGACGTGCTCAGAGTTGCGGAATCTGGCGCAACATGCCGCAACACGAATGCGGCACGGCGAGGCTCGGCTCGGTGGGGCGGCCTGACGAGCATTTTCGCAGACACTGGCCATGTACGTGTGTGCTGCAGTCGATTACCGAAACTCAGGAGGCACCCGTGCATTAGCCGAGGGGGGGAGGCGGTTTTGGGCATGCGGGACGCTGCATCTTGCAGGAACGACGAGAAACTCTGGCTGATCATGTGATGACCTGGCGCGAGTCCTGACATGCCTGCTTGTGCCTGAATCAATCCTTCATAAGTGCTGCAATGCTCACACACGAATGAAGAAGTTGCGTTTGCCATGAAAGAATCACGAGCTGGAATCCCAGTATCATTCATGATATCTGTGAATTGTATAATGGTACCGGTCAGATGGCTCGCGACGCGTTTGATCCGCCCGTGCTGATTGCGCACGCCGCCGTGGTTAGGTCGTCGCCGGTACACATCGGTGACGCAGTCGGCTCAGGGGTCAGGTGAGGAGGGTGCGCCGTTGCACGTTAGCACGTGCTCCGGGTCCCGTCCTGTTGCACCGCCAGCCGCGGAAACAGCGAGAATGTGCCGCTCGGCTGCCCTCGTCCGGGGATTGCCGAGCGGCGGGCCGGCCGGCCGCTTGAGTCATGCCGCGCGCCGCTGACCGGCACGGACAAGGCGAGCCGGGCGAGGCATTGCTGAGGCGTCGAAGCAGGAACGCTGTGGACGGACAGGTCGTGATGCCGACTGGCGGGACTGCACAGCGGACCCTTGTGACGGATCGGTGTGTCTGCCGTGAGATGCGTCGCTCTGAGCCCCCTCCGCTGGGTGCAGTCCGTGGCCGCAGCGGAGCCGGCAGCCCAGGCGCGCCGCGTCACGGCCGGGCCGCGTGCTGCCGGCCGGGAGCAGCCGGGCCGGCCCACGGGAGCGGCGGCGGCGGCGAGCGGTCGGCCGGCGGCTGGCGCGCCGCTCCCACGGCCGGCCGGCGCGCCGCGTCGCCGGGGTCACCGGGTCGGCCGGCCGGCCCCGGCTGCAGGTGACGCGCCCGGGCGGGCGGCCGGGGGACGGCCGTGTGCCGCGCTGAGCCCGGCCACCGGCGCGGCCCGGCCGGCTGCTGCTGCCGCGGCCGGACGGCAGGGTAAGGTCGCGTTCCGCATCGTTCGCCGCCCCGGCCGCGCCGTCGGCGCTGCCCGTGTGCCGGGGGTCTCGGGGCCGCCGATGGCTCAGGCTGGCGTGTGGCGAACTGTCAGGCAGGCGGCGACTTTTACCGAGCTACACGTGCTACCGCTCCGTTTCTTCCGATTGTAATGGGCGACATGGTAATTTCATGGCGCCTCTGACGTGTTTTGTCATCGAAAAAGGACTGTTAAGTATGTGGTAGCACACGAGGGTGCAGAATTGTACGAACCTACCGTCCCGGGAAGACCGCGATGGCGTGCAGAGTGGAAACAGCTAGCTAGAACGCCGGCTCGGCTCCGTTGCTACATCGCACCATATAGATCCGGGTCATTGAGCTTCTGCGAACCGCTAAAAAATGCGCTTCACTTTCAAGTGCGCTGGATTGTGATGGGAACATGACGGTGATTGCTACTTATGTCGTTTGAATCGGATTGCCCGGGTTAATTGCCTTCTCATGTCGAGCGCCTGAAGTTTATGATGGCATTATCAGTTCATTTGCGGCGTGATGCTGGCTTAAACGGCCGGCATGTGGCGCGGTTCACGCCCGCGGTGCTCGACGGACCGGCCATTTTGGCGGCGCGCTCTGCGTTGGACTCGGACGTAGCTGGTAGTTCCACCCGTGACCCCGGCAGCCGGCGCCGTCGGCCGGGTCCCTGGAGGATGCGGTCTGTGGAGCGCCTCGCCGGCCCGCCCGTGGCGCAGCGAGAGCCTGTCTGCATGCTGGCAGCTGATGTGCTCGCTGAGAACTGACGAACTTGCGCAGAAACGTCAGTCATCTATGCGACGGGAGCGAGACTTCCTGTGCCCAGTCCACCCGGTTTTCATGGGGATGTGCTTATACCCGCCCACACTCCCTTCTTTACCATTCCTAACCAGTTGCAGAGTTGACACTCAGAGGTATGATTTTTGCCTTGATAATTGCAAAGGTGTTATGCATTGAGCTAATTGTCACTAAAATATGCGTCGTCAATAGCGTTATGAGGTATTTCTTGAAGTGTCTAGTTTTATGTCGTAATCGCCCTAACCATACGTTTATCCGTACCTGTAATTTTCTCAAAATCTGGCCCCAACCCAGTCTACTACCTTTTCCACATGGATGCCCGAGGTTTTGCCGATCCCGTTAAGTCTCCTGCTCCCCAGAGCACGCGGGCGGCCGCGGTAGTCACTGACGCTGCAGTCGCGCCGGCGAATGTCGTCCGTTTACCAGTGACGTCAGCGATGACATCTGGCGACAGGCTGTAAACAATTGAGCGACCGATCTCAGGTGTCCTGGGTAGACACATGCCCCCCCCCCCCCCCCTCCTTCGTGTCTGCCCCAGGCTGGCGGCTCAGATATCAAGCACAAAGGGTCCCGGAAGGTCGTGGCGTATCTCAGTGATCCCCGGTCTGGGCAGGGAGTCGAGCGGCCCAATAGGCTGACGCCTGTTAAGCGAAGCTCCTGTGGTTTTCTTACGTCGTTGTTGGCCTGGTTGTTGGTTGGTGTGTCCAGCAATCGGCATTCAAAACAAAGATGCACAATTTTGTAGCTGGTCGGGCAAAAACATGGTTTGAATGTATTTAACACGACGGCGTTTGGACAGATAGCTGCATAGGTCGTAACATTGTGCAAGCAATTTGCTGGAGCGTTTTTTATTGTTATTTCTACGGGCAACTCCTCGGGCGAATTTAGTCTGTATAAACATGCTATCCCGCAGTGAGCGTAAGATGCAGTAATAACAGCACATCAACTTTGTGACAGCATTTATGTTGTGCTTTGCTTTATTGGAGCTAAGCCGTGGTGTGCGATTACCTTTCAATGCCTATTTCACATGGATAACGATCAACAAGAATATTGCGGCGCCGTCATGCCATGGCACGACCTATGCAATATGTCTTTTGGCTCGCTCGCTATGAGTTCAGAGACGCATTATTTACAGTGATGCGTGTTATCACTGTAAGGACAGGCGCCTGGGGCACACAGTGGGCGAGCGAGACACTGGATAACACAGAGGCCGCTCGGTCGACGGAACCCGTCCATGCTCTGATTGCCAGGATGCTGAGTCTTGTGCCCCGCCGGTAGAGCCAGTCGCGCAGCGCTCTGACAGATCTCACGCCACGCCGGCCGATCGTCTTCTCATGAAAATGCTCGCTGTTTCAGATGTGGCCATTGGAAATGGAAATAGGTCTCTAAAACGAATTCAGTGTTGTGATTGCTTAGGGTGGCATGTCATCAGCGGTGTGTGCCAGTTAACTTTGCGCAGGACACTTCTGTATGCAAAGTCCCTTAAAAGAGAAGAAAGATGACGGAAGCAGTTGCAGTCCAAGCATTGTTAAAAGAATGGGTACGTTTTCCGCAAAACGTGCTGCTTTTCTGCTTAACGTGGGCAGTATTTACGCCTTCCAAAAGCCGTTGGTTTGCGGAGCTGGCACCATCATGCGAACAGAAATTCCCCGCATATTTTGTAAAAAGCATCCGCCGGTGTTCCATTTGGCCTCCGCTGAGTACTCTCCGCCGCAGCTGCCAGCAAGGCTGTCGTGGAGACGAGCTACGAGTTCTGCATGGAATAACAGCGCCTAGTCTCAACGCGGCTCAGACCTACCTCCCCGTCGCTCAGGTCCGCCTTGACCACCTGGCCCACCCGTCCCCCTCCCCAGTGCGCCGTGTGCGCTCACGTGTCTCACGCCTCCTCTCTGTGCCTCAGGCTGTTCCAGCCGTGGACGACCCTGCTGAAGAACTGGCAGATCCTAGCTGTCACGCACCCCGGCTACGTGGCCTTCCTCACATACGACGAGGTCAAGGCGCGCCTGCTCAACTACAGCGACAAAGCCGGCAGGTGGGCCCCGTGCCGGCCGCGTTGTGCTAGCTTCTTCTCCTGTGGCAGTGGAGAATGCGTCCGACTTGCATTGCTGTGGTCGTGAGTCGATACGCTGCCCGTCGCGCCGCTCGGTGTGGTACGGTCGGTGGCATGGCACGGTCCGCTGAAGCTGTGCGCCCCTGAGTCGGCCCCGAGGCAGCGGCCGTAGGCTGGCAGTGTCTCCAGCAGGCCGGCCGGGTTCTCCGTCGGGCCGAGTTGCCTGGCGGTTCCGCTGGCACGACGACGCGTTGACGGGAACCTCTGCGCGGCTGAGCGGTCGCCGCGGCCCGGCGCGCCGGCCGATGGGCACCGCTGAGTGCCGTTCACGTGCTGACGCCGCGTGCCGCGTGTTGCCAGCTACGTGTTCCGGCTGAGCTGCACGCGGCTGGGCCAGTGGGCCATCGGCTACGTGACGAGCGACGGCAGCATTCTGCAGACGATCCCGCAGAACAAGAGCCTCTGCCAGGCGCTGCTCGACGGCTACCGGGAACGCTTGTAAGCGTTCCTCACGGCGGACGGCTGTGGCGCGGCTCCGACTGAGCGGCCCGCCCGGCCGGCCGGCTGGCGACGCTGGTGGCCGGCGTCACGGCTCACGTAACCGGGCGCGTGACCTCGGCGTGACCTGGCCGCCGGGGGAGGGGGGGGGGGGGGGGGAGGGTAATGCCGCGGCTGTAGCAGAGTGAATACAGCGATTGGGCGGTGTTCGGTGCGCACCGACATAATACGGCGTCGCCCTGTTAGTTGATAACTGTCAGTTATTCATATGGTGGCTTTCATTGCCGATCGTATTGATCGGACATCACGGATAACTGTACGCCACAGAAGCCCCGCAGCTTTGTTGCGAGTGTCCGCTCGCCGTCCCAGCGTCGCTGCGTGCTGTCCGCAGCTGTGGGCTCGCGTCAGTAGCGTATCTTCTTCGGTGTAAGACTTCCACAACGCAGGCGGTAAAGCTGCTGATGCCGTTTTCAGCTACCTGTACCCGGACGGCAAGGACGACAACCCGGACCTGTCGTGGGCCGTCCAGGCGACCCCCGAGGACCACATCAGGGTGCGTGCGGGCGAGGGGCGGCACACACCCCCGCGAGAGGCGTGGCTGCGCGAGTCGGCGCCCGGCTCTCCGCGACGGGTCGAGAGGAGCTGTCCATCAAGCTGTGGTTGCAGGCGTCACCTACAGCGCGTCGTTCTGACTACCCGTGGCGTTTTGTTAATTTTGGCCTCGCCACTGGACATTTAACATTTCTTTGTGATAGGGAGGGATCTCTGACGTTGGTGAAAGGTCTCCTATCTTAGCGTTTAACCTTATGTGCACTGGAATAGACTTTTCTATCCGCTCGGCAACCTGCTGGCGGTTTAGTTGCAGTAGTGTAACTGCGCTTGTCGTCCATGATTCCATCACAAAGTGAGTCGTGCCCGACGCCAGACGAACGCGATAGAACGCAAAACATTTTGCCATGCTGCAATACGCGATAAAACGAAAAACATTTTACCGTGTCGCAACGTCAAAACGTCGTTTTGGTCCTTATCTGCAATGCGGGTCAAAACACTGCAGGTCACTGTGTCTGCTCGAATGGCCACGATCTCCATCCCGACTGGACCACCGACTTATTTCCCGGACGGGACAGGAGTGTGCGGCGTGTAGTACCGGCTGTCTCCGCCATGCGGCGCCGCTGTCGCCCGTCCGTCTCGCGGGCCGTGAGAGGGCGCCTGTGTCAAGGCCCGTTCTATCCGCCAGGTAACGCTGGAGCAGTACGAGCTGTACTGCGACATGGGCAGCACGTTCCAGCTGTGCAAGATCTGCGCCGAGAACGACAAGGACATCAAGATCGAGCCATGTGGTCACCTGCTCTGCACGCCCTGCCTCAGCTCCTGGCAGGTCAGAGGCACCCCTCCGTCCCTCCTGTTGCCTCTGACCTGGCGGGTCAGAGGCACTCCTCCCTCCCTACCTCCGCTGTCTCTGTCAGGGGTCAGTCGGTGACACCGGCTCTGTCTGCGCCATCCGTGTGGGAAGGTCGAGTCGGAGGGGTCGAGATAGAGCGCTTCTGCAGCGGCCCCGAGGCTGGCACGGCCTGGTCGGTGCCGGCGCCAGGTCAGGTCACACCGGGAACGACACGGCCTGGTCGGTGTCGGCGCCAGGTCAGGTCACCCCGGGAACGACACGGCCTGGTCGGTGCCGGCGCCAGGTCAGATTACCCCGGGAGCGACACGGCCTGGTCGGTGCCGTCGCCAGGTCAGGTCACCCCGGGAACGACACGGCCTGGTCGGTGCCGTCGCCAGGTCAGGTCACCCCGGGAACGACACGGCCTGGTCGGTGTCGGCGCCAGGTCAGGTCACCCCGGGAACGACACGGCCTGGTCGGTGCCGTCGCCAGGTCAGGTCACCCCGGGAACGACACGGCCTGGTCGGTGCCGTCGCCAGGTCAGGTCACCTCGTCCTCGCTGCGCTGGTGCCTGTTGAGACGAGCCTGGCGGCCTACACCGGCCATCGAGATCTGGCCAGGTCTAGTCATCTGGTCAGGTTTGGTCACCTGGTCAGGCTAGGTCGTCTGGTCAGGTTAGGTGAGGTCAGGCTGGGGGGTCTGCTCATCTGAACCAGCGATGGACTGATCGGATTGCAGTGTAGACGGCAGCAGAGTGGGGCGATCTCCTCAGAACAGAGACGTGTAGTCGGATCCCCATCTGGGCCCCGCCGGATGAAGGGGCAGCTGACGGCTTTTTCCTCCGCCTTTCCTTGCCTTTCCTGAGTTACGTTTCACCGTGCTGACCCTGGAAAGGTCGGCGTTTTCTTAGCTACCCGGGGCTGCTTCCTACGGTGTTTTGGCGTCCAGACTAATGTGCAGCTTTTATCCTGGACCACAGTTTCATGGCTTAGCTGAAGTTCATTGGGCCCAGACATGCGATTGGAGCCAAAGGTGGTTCCAGGACCCGATAGGTGCCATGTCTGTGATATCCTTGGGTTTCAGTTGATGAGGATCCAGGCATATGTCTAATCGCGACTGTGTTCCAGAAGCTCTTGCGCCACATGTTGCTGTAGTGTTTATTTTGTTTAGGAGGAGGCAAAATCCACGCTCTAAACCCATGTGATGCAAATTCTTTATGAGAGCCGAGCTTCTTGTCCTGTGAAGACGTTTTCCAAGTTAGCCGGGCACCCCAATCATGTGCGGTTCACGATGATGAAGGTATGTTACCACAGGTTTTGTGTGACGGTGCTCTCTAACTGCGACTCCCTGTGCAGGATTCGGAGGGCCAGGGCTGTCCGTTCTGTCGAGCCGAAATCAAGGGCACGGAACAGATCGTGGTGGACGCGTTCGACGCCAGCCGGGCACGCGCGCGAGTCCGCCGTCTGCGTCACGATTGTCTGCCGCCGCCCCCGCCGCTGCCGCCGCCGCCGCCCGCCGCAAACGGCCGGACGGACCCGCTCACGTGACGCCGCCACCTGTCGGCCGTGTCCATAAACCAAAGTTGCCGTCCGGCCGCCGCATGCCGACTGGCGCGATGGTCGACCGTCTGTCTGTCTAGCCTTTTTACATACGCTTAGTACTTATGATGCGTGCGTGGACTCGGAAGTGAATGAGGCCTCGCAGCGATGGACTGTGGGCCAGCATCTGGAGGGAACGTGATGTCTTTGTGCCGGTGGCGTTGTCGGGTTGTGTAAACCACGTTTGCTCGTCACCGATTTTTCCGTGAGGAATGTTCTTCAGGGTCGTGTCGATGTCTTTTGTCGATGTCGATGTCACTCGCTAGCCCTGAATTTGACAGTGTGGATGGTTGGTTATTGCTAGCCCTTGATTCAGCAGATTGTGACTGTTGATTATTTCACACTGTCTGGTACATTCTGTGTATTTGTCATCATCAAACTGTGTTTGCACCTAGGAAACCAAATAGCACACACCACGTCTTCCCAGTGTTCTCCCTTTTTGTGGGCATGGGACCGGATTCGCTTTGCTATCATGGTGCGATTAGCTTCATCTAGCTAAGGATTAATGAATCCTTCCGTACAAACCTGGCGCTATGTCATGTCCGCTGTTCTCGACATCTGGTTTGCGCATGTGTGTGTGTGACAGGGACCCTGGGCTTGGAGATGGGCGTGCTCTCCAAACTTCGCGTATCCCTCCGGGGCCAGTGCTGCTCACAGTGATTCAGACCGTTGGGGTTCGGATCCAGCCAGGTCCAGTCTGCTCCTGACCTCGTCGGACGTCTGTCGTCGTCCCGCAGCCGCCGGCCACGCGGCGGACCTTGTCCCGCCTTCGCTCTCGTCTTTCGGCGCCACGCGTGCCCCGCACCAAGCGCGCGCCGGTCTGCGACAGCCGCCGTCTTTTGTTTCGGAGCCCCGTCGGGGCGCTGTTCCCTGCGCCTGCGCCGGATAGGTCGCCGCCGGGGTGGGCGCTGACTGCCGCGTGCCGAGGCTTGCGCCGCTCCGGCGGCGCCGCCGGCGCCGACTCGGGCCGAACCATCGCCCAGACAGCGGCGAGCGCTGCCGCCGGAGCGTCTGCATCCCATGCCGCCGCTCGCCGCCGACTGTCCCGCGCCCCCGACCCCTTCCGCCGTCCTTGCAGATCAGGTCTCCCGCCGCTGTGTCGACCCCCGCTCCTGCGGCGGCCCGTGCGCGGCGACCGGGCCCGGAGGCGCCGCCGGTGCCGGCTGCGAGGCCCGGCGGCGGCGGGATACGTGGCATGGTGGGAGTCGGCGCCACGCGCGGCGTGGTGTCTGTCGTGGCGCCAAGTGTTCCCCGGTGTGCCTTCCGGATGGTGGGATGACTCGTCCTGGTCTCTAGAGGAAACTACGCGTGGAATACACTGTTGCAAGTTACGGCGTGGTGCGGGATCTGTTGCAGCAGTCGGACGGTCGGGTGCTCAGCGTGAGAGGGATGCCCTGCTGCACGAATGAAGTCATCCGTTATATTTGTACAAATAGACATCAATATACAAATATTGTTGTACAGAAACGCGCGATGTCTTCTACACGAGGCAGCGAACAAATTACGGGTCCTAGGCGGGCGAAAACAAAGGCTCGATTGACCTATTAAAACATGGTCACACACCCAGCCTAGCGTTCGACGCACACTCAGTCTACGCGCGCGCCTCGATGAGCATCGTGATTCGAGGTCTCTCAAAGTTCCCTCACGCGGATTCCCTCTGGTCACGCTCACGACTCCCAACCGGATGCTCCGCTCGTCCTCCTCCCCCCCCCCCCCCCAATTTATCTGCCGCCCATACAGCAGTGTCGTCCATGCTTTTCAGGTTTGACTCGCAACGGGCTTTTCATTCAGAACCTCCAATTTGGCTCCGGTTCGTTCCGCGGTATTGTGCCTCCCCGTGCCCCAATGCCGCGGTCGGACAGGCCCTTCACCTCCTAATTTAGCCCCCGCTGATCGGGCGATCCGACGACTGGTGATCGCCTCATTTTCAATTTGGCCCCCACCTCTTCCAGCAGCTGGCGACACAGTCCAGGTCTTGTCCTCTGTGACGAACCGAGATGATGCGAGGATGCTATTGAAACGGCCGGCTTGGGTGGCATGCAACTGCCAGACAGCCTTCCGTGACTGCGGCGGCTCTGAAGCACGGCTGAACCCCAGCTTATTGGCATGCAGCGTATGAGCGCGGTGGGTATGTGTGTGTGGGGGGAGGGGGGGGGGGGGCACGTCCCCGCTTCCGATCCTCCGCTGCCCACCTGCCCCGAGACAGCACATCGCTTACGTAACAAAGAAGTCCAACCGAGCCGACTCAGCCGCTGCTCGGGGCGGCCAACGGCGGCAGCTGGCCACCACCCCGGATCAAGCACCGTGGAGGCGATCCGCGGGGGGGGGGGGGCGATCCGCGGGGGGGGGGGGGCGATCCGCGGGGGGGGGGCGATCTTTCGCCTCCAGAGGGCCGCCTGGCGCCGGAAGTCTGGCAGTGGTGGCGCCCGATATCTTGCAGAGATCAGGGAAGGTGTGCTGGCCCGATTGCATCGTGCAACGCTGACTTTCTGCGACACACCACCGTCGGTACTGTTCGCTGCAGATATCCTCGACTTGACCGATGAGACAGCATACGGGCAAACCCGGCGGACAAAGACGCCTCCGAATGATATGTGGTGGCAGACTGCGATGAGACTTGCGCCATGTTCAACGCGCTCGCGGCGATCGGCGGAGAGACAAGCGCACACAACAGACGTGCCACCTTGCGTCACGCTTCCAGTCGCATCCGAACATCTCTCGCACATACGACGGAAACAAACTGCACACCCAGCAGGCATCACATAAATAGATGAGCACGTGACTGCGCCACAACACATAAAGCCCCGCCGTCCCTCCTCCCCCACTTCACTACACCGAGGTCTCGCTGCTCAGGCGCAGCACGAACTTGTTGCTCTTGGGGTCTATGATCTCCTCGGTGATGTTGAAGTGCGGCAGCTTGACCACCGAACACAGGAGCGACACGTCGTGCTGGCGCAGCTGGAAGAGCACGCCTTCGGCGGCGGGCCGCGAGAGCAGCGTGTCGCACACCAGCGCCCAGCTCTGCACCGCCCGCGCCTCGCGCTCGCTCTGCAGCACCGGCGCCGGCGACAAGTAGCGCTCGAGGAAGGCGCGCGGCGACATGTCGTGCGCCAGGCACTGCGCCAGGTGCGCCAGGATCGCCTCCATGGTGTGGCGCGGCTGCTGGCGCGTGACGCGCAGGTACTTCTGCAGCGGCCGCGCCATCGTCGGGAAGATGGCCTGCGCCGCCTCGTGAGAGTCCATCGGGATGGCTGGACCTGCGGGCGGCGGCGGACGGTCAGAAGGGCGGGATGGCTGGACCTGCGGGCGGCGGCGGACGGTCAGAAGGGCGGGATGGCTGGACCTGCGGGCGGCGGCGGACGGTCAGAAGGGCGGGATGGCTGGACCTGCGGGCGGCGGACGGTCAGAAGGGCGGGATGGCTGGACCTGCGGGCGGCGGCGGACGGTCAGAAGGGCGGGATGGCTGGACCTGCGGGCGGCGGACGGTCAGAAGGGCGGGATGGCTGGACCTGCGGGCGGCGGACGGTCAGAAGGGCGGGATGGCTGGACCTGCGGGCGGCGGCGGACGGTCAGAAGGGCGGGATGGCTGGACCTGCGGGCGGCGGCGGACGGTCAGAAGGGCGGGATGGCTGGACCTGCGGGCGGCGGCGGACGGTCAGAAGGGCGGGATGGCTGGACCTGCGGGCGGCGGACGGTCAGAAGGGCGGGATGGCTGGACCTGCGGGCGGCGGCGGACGGTCAGAAGGGCGGGATGGCTGGACCTGCGGCGGCGGCGGACGGTCAGAAGGGCGGGATGGCTGGACCTGCGGGCGGCGGCGGACGGTCAGAAGGGCGGGATGGCTGGACCTGCGGGCGGCGGCGGACGGTCAGAAGGGCGGGATGGCTGGACCTGCGGGCGGCGGCGGACGGTCAGAAGGGCGGGATGGCTGGACCTGCGGGCGGCGGCGGCCGGGCAGAAGGGCAGGATGGCTGGACCTGCGGGCGGCGGACGGTCAGAAGGGCGGGATGGCTGGACCTGCGGGCGGCGGCGGACGGTCAGAAGGGCGGGATGGCTGGACCTGCGGGCGGCGGCGGACGGTCAGAGAGGCGGGCGGCGGACGGTCAGAGGGGCGGGCGGCGGACGGTCAGAGAGGCGGGCGGCGGACGGTCGGAGGGGCAGGCGGCGGACGGTCAGAGGGGCGGACGGCGGACGGTCAGAGGGGCGGGCGGCGGGCGGAGGGGCGGTTGGCGGACGGTCAGAGGGGCGGGCGGAGGACGGAGCCACGAAACCTGCTCACCATCAGCTGTAAATAGTCATGGGGCCTGCTTACCATCAGCCGGACAGAGTCATGGGGCGTGCGCACCATCAGCCGGACAGAGTCATGGGGCGTGCGCACCATCAGCCGGACAGAGTCATGGGGCGTGCGCACCATCAGCCGGACAGAGTCATGGGACCTGCTCACCATGAGCTGGACAGAGTCATGGGACCTGCTCACCATGAGCCGGACAGAGTCATCGGGCCTGCGCACCATAGTCGGAAAAAGTGGCTTAAGCGGATCATGCCAACACCGACAGAGTCACAATCAAATGATGATAGACCCCGGCAGCTGCAGATCGAAGTGGACCGGGAAAGAAGACGAAGGTTCCGCGGCTCTCAGTGGCCTGGGGAAAGAAGACGAAGGTTCCGTGGCTCTCGGTGGCCCGGGGAAAGAAAACGAAGATTCCGCGGCTCTCAGTGGTCCGGGGAAAGAAGACGAAGGTTCCACGAGTCTCAGTGGCCCGGGGAAAGGAGACGAAGGTTCCACGAGTCTCAGTGGTCCGGGGAAAGAAGACGAAGGTTCCGCGGCTCTCAGTGGCCCGGGGAAAGAAGACGACGGTTCCGCGGCTCTCAGTGGTCCGGGGAAAGAAGACGAAGGTTCCGCGGCTCTCAGTGGCCCGGGGAAAGAAGACGACGGTTCCGCGGCTCTCAGTGGTCCGGGGAAAGAAGACGAAGGTTCCGCGGCTCTCAGTGGCCCAGGGAAAGAAGACGAAGGTTCCACGGCTCTCAGCGGTCGCAGCCAGATCGCGCCGAGCACTCGCGGTGACATCAAACGGAATCAGGCGGATGGACTCCGGAGGGAGCGTAAAACAGCTCGCGCTCGCTCTAAAAATCCACCAAAAATACGTCCGCAGCGACCTGGACAAAACCACATAAAAGCCTGACAACCGGCAGTGACCACAATGATCCATGGCCACAAACGCGACACATGGTTACGCAGCCAGGTAGAATCACCTGACCGTCTCAATTAGCCTTCAAATGCCGTTATGTTGTGGTAAAAACGTAAAGAAGTGCAAGCATCAAAAATGAAATGAAGGGCACCTGCAAATCCTGACCGCGAATACGTACTAAAGCACGACAAAATGGTGTTGTGGGAATGCATGTTCTATTGTCTCGAGTTCCATATTTTTCCGGCATGTCAGATTTCAAGAAAAACAGTTTTTTGGCACCGGTGGCATGATCCATTAGAAAAACAAAAACCGATGTAAGACAACAGTTTACCTGAAACCCCACGAACGCCCTCTCAGGCACACGGATTCGTTCAGCAGTCGCGGAACTGATAGGATCATAAGTGGCCTGCATTACCACCAGGTATGAACGCGCCTTCTTTTTCACCCCTGACACGCGATGGCGATACAGCCGACCGTATCCTAGTCCACGAAACAGAGACCCTGTTACATATCGAACCTTAGAGACACGGCTGTTACGAGAGCTGATTCCACGAACGGTGCCAGGACATTGGCGAGTACGCATGGATACCTGACTGACACCACCTGGCATGTATTCGACCACGCCCGCCCCCACAGAGTCGGGACCGACGTATTCGTGGAGGCGAGGTGTTATTGACGCCACACGTGTCAAAGCTAGGCAGAA